TTTTTTTAAAGCAAAGATGCACAAGCAGCCTGTGATCTGTCGCTTTAGTTTTGAATTGACATCCCTGCTTGCAATGCTGCATTTCAGGGAAAGTCCAGTACTGGATCTTTTGCACAATCACCAGTATCCTCTTCTTCCTTCAGCCATAGTCCGAGCTCTAAGACTACTCAAAATAGGGGCTCTATCTCCATCATTAGTGATTTACGTGAACCTTATCAGAATTTATCAAGTCCAGGTTCTGTAGAAGTTAATTCAGATGTAGCCATCAAGAAAAATGGAAGGGAGAACCCAGATAAGTTATATGGAACTGGGGAGTCAGATAGTTCAGCTAAGTTTGATGTTAGTCAAGCTTTGCGACGGCTCGAGGAGCAGTTAAGTTTGAATGAGGACAGCTTCGATGAATTTGTCGATGATAATCCAAATTCAGATATCATGGACAGGTTCAATGAATTTTTGGATGATACAAATGGTTCGGATATCCTGGAAGACCATAGTGATATGACCAATCAGGATCAGTTTACTGCCTTCCATGGACCAGAATATGTTGTACATGATCAGTTCTATGGTGGACGTGCTCAGATGCAAGGTAATGCAAACAATAGTGGTGAACATAGTCAATTTATTGGTCAGGAATTTGCGGATAGAAACAAAGAATCTGCACCTTGGAAAGAGGTTCTGGATTCATGTAAGCCTTCATCAGTTGTAGAGCCCAAGGAGAAATGCTTATACGGATTGGACACAAATGTGAGTGTTACCAAGAATTACATACTGTTCTTTGTTTTTGTTTCCATTTATTACACTTTTACCCAGATATATTCCTAGAGATTGTTAATGGATTTTGGCTGCTTAAATTTTGTATGTCTTTTATGAATGGCTTGGTCCCATGTGTCTGAGATGGCATTAACCTCTCTATGTTAATTGCAACAGGAAAAGTTGCCATCTTCTTTCAGGAGTGGACCAACTGAAGGTCACGAGCATTGTCAGTGGTTAAATTCAGACGGAACTAATGTTAAAAACTGTATGATTTCCTTTTCTCATTAGGAAAATTGGTTTAACACATCTTTTAGCACCTACTAAATATTTTTCAGACTCTGACAAGTTTCACTGTTATCAGTTTCTTTGTCACTGCCTGAAGAAGTTGACAGTTTCAAGCTTTCTCCATATTCCTCTGCGATGGGAACACATTCAGACTATTATACATCGTTGTTTGAGCAAGGCCAGACTGGAACTCATGATTCAGATATCAGTTTGACTGTTGCACAAAAGCAAAAGTTTACAATTCGGGAAATATCTCCAGAATGGGGTTATGCCACTGAGGCTACTAAGGTATGTTTTGCATCATACTATGTCTGATAGTGCTCCTTAGAATAATCATTCGGCTAAAATGGAAGTAGTACTCCCATAATGTTCCCCTTGCTTGTTTTATAATTTTCTGGAGCATTCCTGAATTAATCTTCATGTCTCTGCTCCTTAATGGAGTCCTTATCTAACAGTTCATTCTCTGCTTCACCTTTTTTCATATGATCATTATACTACAAACCAGCAAGGAAAAGTTGGATATGTTAACCTGAACTAAATGACTGAATAAAGCCCTTGTCACTATCAGATTATCCCTAGCGAATATTTTCCACCAGGTGCTTCTTATGCTACTAAAAGTTTGAGTTATTAGTCCAGATCTCGATGACCAGATATCAGAATTACCAATAATCCAGTGCAACAACAATCTGTCTAATCTAAACTGTTTCAGAAACCAAATACCCTGGTCTTGTAAGGGTAGCCTGTCTATGCTTTACTTTTTATTGGTCCCTCAGACCAAAATGAACTCTACAAAAATCAACTTGGAATGTTGATCTTACATTGTCTGTAAGAAAATAATGAGTTAATACTGTAATTTTGATTTAAGCTGCAATCAACGTATGATCTGATCAGTATAAAAAACAATAATTAAAACCAGTCATGTTCATGGGTACTGTCTTATGTGCATTTTAGGCCAAGCAGTCTTTTTCTTTTTTAATGTGATATTTACTTTTTTTTTTTAAATTTAAAAATTTGGACATGTGACAATGCAGAGAACTGTTGAGTGTCCACCTTATAACAAAGTCCTAATACGATAGATTCTCCCTTGGATTTGTTCTTCCCAAAAAAAGAAATTGTTTCTTTGTGGAGCTTTTGTTTTTGGTAGTTTAAGATTAAACTTAAAGCCCACATTGCTCGATGCAGGTCATCATTGTTGGATCTTTTCTGTGTGATCCATCAGAATCTGCATGGAGTTGTATGTTTGGTGACGTTGAAGTCCCTGCTCAGATCATTCAGGACGGTGTACTCCGTTGTGAAGCTCCTCCTCATCTTTTTGGGAAAGTGACTATCTGCATTACTTCAAGCAACCGGGTGTCCTGCAGTGAAGTCAGGGAGTTTGAGTATCGAGTTAAGAGCAGTAGTGGTACTAATCACTCGCCTCCACCAGAAACTACCAAGAGTGCTGAAGAGCTGTTATTACTTGTCAGATTCGTTCAAACGCTCTTGTCTGATTCATCAATGCAGAACAGAGATGGTGTTGAACCTGAGACCCTGAGGAGATTGAAAGCCGACGATGATTCATGGGGTAGTATCATTGAGGCTTTATTACTCGGCAGTGGAAGTGCATCTAGTAACATATATTGGCTTTTGGAAGAGCTTTTGAAAGACAAGTTGCAGCAATGGCTTTCTTCCAGATCCCATGGACTTGACCAGACAGGTTGTTCCTTGTCCAAGAAAGAGCAAGGGATAATACACATGGTTGCTGGTTTGGGCTTTGAGTGGGCCTTAAACTCAATACTAAGTTGTGGAGTCAATATTAATTTCCGTGACATAAATGGATGGACTGCTCTGCATTGGGCAGCTCGTTTTGGAAGGTAATAAAGCTTTCCTTTTTTTCTTTGGGGTTATTCCTTGTCCAAAAGAGCAAAGGAGTGATACACATGGGTTATTGGGATATTTAGTGAATGTGTTTCATTTCACTTGCATAACACGTTAATATTTCAACAAAACTTGGACAAAGGGTTACATATTTCCAATACTTGTTTCATCAATCCAAAATTAGGCAAGGAAATAGCCAAGACAAAAAAATCTCATATAGGCTAGCTCTTGTGGTGCATCATTCAAATTTTCTTATTTTAACAGGGAAAAGATGGTTGCTGTACTTGTAGCTTCCGGTGCATCAGCTGGAGCAGTGACAGATCCCAACTCCCAAGATCCAATTGGCAAAACTCCGGCATCTATTGCAGCCATCAGTGGGCATAAGGGACTTGCAGGCTATCTTTCAGAGGTCTCATTAACTAGCCATCTGTCATCCCTTACACTGGAAGAAAGTGAGCTTTCTAAAGGCTCTGCTGAGGTTGAAGCAGAAATAACTGTAAACAGCATCTCAAATAGAAGCCTTCAGGGCAATGAGGATCAGGCCTCACTTAAAAACACCTTGGCCGCTGTCCGGAATGCAGCTCAGGCTGCGGCACGCATACAATCTGCTTTCCGAGCACATTCTTTCAGAAAACGACAACAGAAAGAAGCTGGTATCAGTATAGATGATTATGGTATCAGTTCCGATGACATTCAAGGGCTTTCAGCGATGTCAAAGCTAGCCTTTCGTAACCCACGTGATTACAATTCAGCTGCAGTATCTATTCAGAAGAAATATCGAGGCTGGAAAAGTCGCAAGGATTTCCTGGCTTTGCGCCAGAAAGTTGTAAAGATACAGGTACCTCAGTTTTTTGCAGAATCGATTTACGAATAATTCATCCTGCACCACATATTTTGAAGTTAGGATTTGCTGTGTGCTTTAGCATTTACCATATGCAGAGCTTACTCGATTGTTGAATCAAGTTGCATAATGGATGAATTGAGAGTCAAAAGGAACCCTCATCTTTGTATTTTTTTTCTTTTCTTTTTAAATCAAATGCACCATGTGGATATAAATCCAGGATGTTGAAATTATTCTACTTAGTAAAATACTATATACTAAAATGGATTATAAACTTTTCTTTCTTGACAGGCGCATGTGAGAGGGTATCAGGTCAGGAAGCACTACAAGGTAATTTGCTGGGCTGTTGGAATCCTGGACAAAGTTGTTCTAAGATGGCGAAGGAAAGGAGTTGGTTTGCGTGGTTTTCGGCATGAAACACAGTCCAGTGAAGAAAGGGAAGATGAAGATATTCTCAAGGTGTTCCGCAAACAGAAAGTGGATGGAGCCATTGACGAGGCTGTCTCGCGGGTGCTGTCCATGGTTGAGTCTCCAGAGGCACGCCAGCAGTATCATCGCATGCTGGAGAGGTACCATCAAGCTAAGGTAAGCAAGCAAGTCACAGATTTTGATGAAACAGCATTCCATGGACTTAGATTTAACTCATGTAAAACGTCTATTCAATTTAATCTTGCAGGCTGAACTAGGTGGCACTAGTGGTGAAGCAGACGTACCGAATTCCCTTGATGATACCTTCAATATAGAAGACATTGATATGTATCAGTTTCCCTAGAAGCAAACATCTAATTTTTTTTAACTTATGTTGCTCTTTGGTTTACCTAAATTTCACTAATCACATAGTAGATGTACGTTGTTAGTATGGGTTTCGGTCTGTACATAATGATCTTGGTTCATGATGTAAAGAGATGTTGATTGATGAGTTTTCATATATATTATATCGTTGCTGTTAATGCTTCCTGTTATTGTTGTTGTCAATGTCGTTTTTCGTTTGTTCTACTACAATCGCCTATTGGTCTCATGGATATCACTCTGATATTATTATAGACGGCGGTGGCTCATCCCGAGTGCCGACCCATGAACTTACGACAATAATATTTTTGTCGTAATCGTCCATATTTAATTATAGTTGGCCTCGTTTAGCGTGCAGATTCTGACAGTCAGTAGACCGACCAGATTCTGATCACAGACAGTCGACCGACCAGATTCTGATCGTAGATAAATAAAATAAAAAAATAAAGAGAGCTGTCCGTATCACTGACTATTAGCCATTCATATAGCCAAAAGGCCAATACTTTTACGCCACGTCAGACGCAAGTGCTACGTGTCATGCCAAGATGAAATGACAAGCTTGGCACTCGGTGCTTGCTTGCTTGTTAGTAGAATCTGGAATGAGAGAGGAGTTTTGTTTTGAGTTTGAATTCTCTCTTTGTGTTGTATGAGATCTCAGAGTGACCCAACAACAACTCAGCCATGAATTCGAAAGATGAAAACGTGGAGCTGATTAACGAGGCCATCAAGAGGCTCTTAGAGGAGAGGAAAAACAGAGATGCCTCAGCTGATGATGATGACGACCGCCGCCTCCTCGCCCGATTGCTCTCTCAGGTTAGTTAATCACCCATCTCAACTCTCTCTCTCTCTCTCTCTCTCTCTCTCTCTCTCTCTCTCTCTCTCTCTCTCTCTCTCTCTCTCTCTCTCTCTCTCTCTCTCTCTCTCTCTCTCTTTTTCCTTTTTATGAACGAGAGAGGCAGGAGGGATTCGAACACGGACCTTTTACAATCGGCTCTGACCTACTCTATTTGCCTTGTTTCGATATATTTCTTCACTTCTTGTGCAGTATATACATATACTGCAGTGCAGGGTTGGCAATAAAATTCATGAATCTTGTTAATATTTTTGCCCACTGGTTGGATGCTATTATTGACAGGTAGAGTCGTTAAAAGGCAACGAGCGGCTTCAGAAACCCGAAGCTTTAACGAAATCGGGAGAGGTAACTTCCTCTGCAGATGGGGATCAATCGAAGCCGAAAAGCGAGAGTGGTGGTGACCAAGCAGATGGAGATGACGGTGGCTCCGATGAAATTGATAGAGAAGAGATAATCAAAGAACTTAACAAGGTGAAGAGACAGAACACCATCACCCACTGGCTTCTTTCCGTCATGATTGTGCTCACTGTTGCTTGGCAAGCCTCTGAGGTGACCCTTCTCTGGAAATTTAAAGATGGGTTGAGCCACCCGTTTAAATGCATTGGAGACATGCTCACAGGGAAAGGGACAGGCAAGGACTCAGAAGAACACAAAAAAGAGGTTCCTCCTCTCCCTTGTCTCAACATTCCTGAGCTCCCTCACGTGGAATTGCCAGATATGGGTCTAACTGGTGAACGGCATTGAGCAAATTGCTTGCTTTTCATCTGCTCTGGTTCAAAGATTCAATAATGAGAGTGAAGAAGAGACTTTCGATTTTATGGGTTGACATTTTTGAAACCCTCAGATTTAATCTTGGGATTCGTGAGAGGAGAGCTGTGAATTTTGCTACTTTTGCTAAAAGTTTATTCAGCAAATAGTCAATAAGCAGAATAGGAGTGGCCGTACTTGCACAAGCCTCTTCTTCTGATGAATATCCGTGCTTGTGATTTTTGATTCAATGCAAGATTGAAAGTTCTGGAAACGAACACAAAAGATTGTTTTACTCCATCCACTATCACTCAACAACCAATCGATTCGATTCATATCGATTCATCCATTATGAATGTATTTCTGATCCCAAATCTCCATCAGATGGAATTACCAGCCCGACCACTACACAAATCATATGATTAGTTTAAATGCCACGTCACACACAGAACACAAGGGGCAAAAGAGTAAATGGATCAAGGAAACATTCTTCAATCTTCAAACCTCCAATACCATATTCATTTTAGACAATTACCCAGAGCAATGTAAATTTCCAATTCAACCAATAACAATCATAAGAATCTCTAAATTCTGGTGACAGAAAAAAACACAACGAACACTAAACATCCAACCAAAAGAAAGTTCACACTTTCCATTTGAGATCCCTACAACTAAACAGTAATAGGCAGGGAAGAGAGCACACATATTCCCACCCTTTGTTGAATGTGAGTGATGATCTTGTCTTTATGCATAGTTCAACCGGAAAATGTCATTGAACACATAGAAGCTTCCCTGTGGAGTAGGCATCAAATGGAACATCTGCAAACGAAAACCATAAAAAGAACTATGATTAGGCAAAAGCAACTGCATATGGAAACAAAAAATTACAAAATAAAGATCATGATGCTCAAATGCCTACATAATTGGTAAATCATGAATAAATTTGATTCAACAAAGGAAGAGGTAAACACTCAGAATCTAGAATGAGTTAACGAAGGAGTTGATTATATACACCTAAACATAAAAAAATTTGAAAACAATTTTGAGAAATTGGATGTTTAATTAGTTATCTGAGATATATACAGCCTGCTAAAATTTGGAAAAAATGCACCAGTACCCATGTACTGATTTCTAAAAGTGAAAAACTGTTGAGCTCCTGATGAGGCAAAGAAATAATGATATGCGCTCGGCACAGCTTATATTGTTAATTCAAGAGACAGGTAGCTTAAATTAGTAAAACATGGAACTCATAGAAACTCCATGGCTGTAATTATAAACAGGGCATGCAAGCCAAGAAGAAGAATAAGAATGGAGCTCTAGTCCTTTTGGGGCACAAGCATACACACACTACATTTGCCAAAGGAGGAGGGAGGGAAGGAGAGAGAGAGAGAGAAGACGAAGAATCTTTTTAAATCACTTCACTTCGGGTTAGCAATAAGGTTTTTCATCAATAGCGTAGGCAAGAAGGCTATTTTCTTTTTTACAATAATGAAATTTTCTGGAGAGAGATGCTTAATGCTAGAATTCTCTTGCAGCGTGTCAGTCCTGATATGAGTGAAAGTAAAAGTAGCCAAAATTAACATGCCAATTCAACTTTAAACAACCTTATATACCAACACAATCATGAACAGCTAGTCAATCACACATCACGACCGAAGCAGAAAACAAAAGGAATCCAGCTGAGTAGCATCCTTGGGTAAAGTAAAACCATCCCAAGTTTTGAGCTGATTTACAACAAACACTGTTGAAACGAATAGCAAATCAATCAGTTTTGAATTGTTATCTTCTACATGATGTCTAAGGACCTCTGTAAAAAGGTGGTGGCCATAAAGAAAAAGGTAATACAAGATCGTTGATACAACCTACAAATCAATTAAAGGCAAGAGAGAACGGATGGGCATAAATCGATCCAACCAATGATTAACAATCAATGAAACAAAGTTATATAACAAGAATGAAGGTTTCTATAACGTGAAATTAGAACATCCAGAATTTTGTGGACTTATTGCCATAATTTAGGCCCATGGAAATTGAAACTATGATTTAGTCAAAACTACGATTTCAATAGCGGATTCTTTCACAACAGAGAGAAAACAGCAGTTTTATGCAGACATTCATACATTATCCGCTAATCGCAAACAGGATTATTAAAGCAATTCAATCTTCTATTGAAGTATCGAAAATTAGCATAATATTCACAATTGACATATGTCAGCAGCAGAAATCGAACAAAATCTAAAAGAAACAAAGTAAGAAACATTCAAATCCACACAAGTATCCTTCTTTGGTAGTTGTCAGCATAAGAAATGCTGTATCGCGGTAAGTACAACCTGCATATAAGCACACGCGGCCAAATCGGACTGAAACTAAAATTTACAGAAGCGCGAAATAATACACATAGATCCAATCATAAGGTCGACAAAAATCAAATCCGATACAGAAAAACACCTCATAAATCACCTCCATTGGGAGAGCTCCCGCGGCGAAAGGGATTAGTCACTGCTGTCGGCGGTGGATACCCTTGGTCTCACCTAACAAAGTTTTAAATAGATCGAGGCCAAAACCTCGACCAAAACCCCTCCAATCTTACCCTAAAAGATTCATAATTCTAATTCTAGCCAGCAGAACCAAGGATCGCACAACAGATTAGCAGCAGATCAGCCAAATAGGCACAACTTAAACCCTAAAACCGCCGCTGATAAATAGAAGACATGAAATCGGAAAAGCAAGTATATACCTGGCTGAACTTGAGAGCATGCTGCTCACCGGCGAGCTGGAGATTGCCGCTGACGAAGACGAGCATGCCGCCGGCAGGGCCAGAGGGCTGGCAATCGACGGTGGTGATGCTGTGCTGGCACTGCTGGAAAGGGAGGCTTGTGAGCTTGGCCACGATGTTTTGTGACCCTTGGATCTTCTGACCTTCGAAGGTCAACATCGAACCTTCCTGGTACAAATTCGCCAAGGCCCCGCGATTCGCGTCGAACAACGTATAGTAATGCTCCACGAATGCTTTGGCCACCGAATCTGGATCCATCTCCGCCGCACCTGATCACCGCCCCCACGAAAGAGACTCAGAAGACTCTGAAACAGAGAGGGGACTTTACTGCAAACAAAGAAGAAACGGTAGGCACGGAGAGGAGAGCTGAGACAGTCTGCGATCGAGTGACTAGGTTTTTATATATGTTCTCTTATTTATTTTTACTTTTTTTTAAATTGTAATTTTTCAAGTTTCAACCGATATTTAGAGGAAGATATCGCCATGGGATTTACCGGATCGGCTCACCGTATCGCTCCTATTTGCGTGGGTCTGACGCTGGTTATTATTTTCTTTTAAAGCAAGTTTTCTTTATCTTATGCATGACACTTTATTTTCCTCTTAATTAGCCACTTGGCATGCCCGAACGCATGAAATTTTATTTTTCTTTACTACTGTAGTATTTTATAATTTCCCTTCTTAACATGCGCTTGAGCATGCCAATTGCCCTTTATATAACAATTTAAATTTAAATTTATAGATATTAAGAATTTTTATGTAAAATATTTTAGGTGGAATAGGAGTTCCATTTTATTTTTATGTTTTAAATATGAAAAAAAAAATTAATTTACTATATAATTATCTTTATTAATTAGTATTTGAGACATAGAGTATTTTTGTTTGGGTTTTAATACCTAGGAAAGAATTGTTATTTTGGATTAGGCCAAAGAGGAGGCCCAGATTCGTTGGGCCATTTTAAAATAATAACTGAAAAAACAATGCTACCCTTCTTCTTAAAAAGTCTGGCCCAACTTTAAAACTTACAAAGTAAATGACTTTTTTACCCCTGTCTGTTTAAAGTACGCGCGATTTGAATTGGTTCTCTTTCGTTTTCGTTCGACTTGACGTTTTGGAGCTCTGGTTCGTTTAGCAACCATTGGAGCTCTGATTTTCTAGCAGGTTTCGCTCGATTTTCTTCGTTTTTCTGTTTTATTATAATTATGTTTTGTGTTATTTAGATTGATTTTTATGTTTTCTTTGTAATTTTTCTTTTGCATGCAGAATCAAGGTCAGTTTTGGCGTGCGATTTCTGTGCTATGGTTCAATCTTAGTTCTACTATTTCGAGCTTAGCGCGATTTTGTAGCGTTCAATTTTGTGGCGTGTGATTTTGTATCTTCTTCGTGTTGTGCAGTTTCATCTTTGGATTTGAAATTGTATTTTTCTGTTGTTGAGGTATGTATTTTCTGGATGAGATTGTTATTTTGATTTTCTAGACTTTTTGGGTAGGTCCAAGAACAAAAGTTGCTCCACTCTATGTGGTGATCTTGTAGGTATAAGACTTGACTAGCAGTTTAGAGATTTTCCGATCGCCAGAATTTGATTTGGACACCCACGTGCTGCCAGTGCGTGGGCCACTTTTTGGCCGGTCTTAGGGTCCTAAAATACTCCTCATGTCGTCTCGAGCATGACGGTATGCTCGGATTTCAATTTGGTTACCGTTTGATATGTTCAGACCATTGGATTGACTCCAATTTAATATATGTTAATCTAGGTATTCCTAGGATCATATAGGATTTCGCAAATTGTGAATCGAAGCCCCGGATATTCCGATTTAATAACTTAAAGTTTGCATTAAATGATAACCGTCCGATCGTGCGATCGAGAATGATCCGACTGTTCGATTCGGACCAAACTTGAAGTACATGTATCCTAAATCTTGTTGAACCTATAGGAACTTCCAGATCTGGAATCGGATGTTGTGGGCCCCACGGGCCCGATTGACCAAGTTTGGACAATTTGACCCCTCGTTGATCGTGAGTCTTCCGAAGTAATTTTACCCTTTGAGAAGTACTAGAACGACCATGTAAATGAGTCTTGACTGGTAACTGAGTTATTCTGATTATGTTGGGATTAGGAGATTGTGTTATAGTATCTTATGGAAATTCTTGGATATTATATTGATAATTGAAGTTATGGAATGGGCGAGCTTGGGCTATTGAATTGATGGGTTGTAGAAGCGAGCCTTGGGCTCGGCTATGATTATTAATAAATAAGTGGGCATTTGTTTTTAAGAGTACGTAGTTCTTATATTATGGAATTTCTTGCATAATGAGTTTAGTTTGGAAATTGATTCGTTATGAGATTTTCTTTAAAGGTTATTACTTTTCATTGATTAAATTACCATGCAATTTATTATGGATTTATATGATTTTGGAATGAATATATATATATCGTTAATTGTGAATATTTTTATTATTTTGATAATTGAGATTATATTATAGTATTCTATGGTATTTCTAAAT